TGGGGGGTTTCAGTGTAACATGAAAATCTTTCATTTTGAGTTTTGTCATTATTTGAACTTTGAACTTATAACCCAATATGAGCCAAATGTGATTTTTTAAGCCAATGAGAGGTGTTAAAAGTCTTATCTAATGCCATCATTTCACCTCTTTCACACAGTGAAATACCAATAAGGTGTCACACCGGCTGCAGCAGACGGTGGAGAATGGAGAGTGGAGACCCAATTGCAGACAATGGAGACGGAATTGAATATAAACAAAAATGAGGCTTTATTTCTGGCTGCACAAAAATAGAAAAAAACAAAAGAAGACTGAGATTAAACTAACAAAACCTAAACTGGGAAAAGCTAAACCGAAAACACTAGGTGCATAAAGAAAAGTACAAAAACCTTAAATGCAAAACCTGACACTTGGGAAACATGAAGAAAGATGAGCAGACTGTTCAACAATAGGCAGCAGAAAACAGAGGACTAAATATACAGAGGATAACGAGGGAATGGGAAACAGGAGGGAATCACAGCTGGAACTAATCTGACACAACGAGACAGGGAAGAAGTGTGGTCGCAAATTTTTTAGCTATCCTGATAACCTTATCCCACCAATGATGTGGAGATCCAACTTTTTTAGATCCAATTAAAACTAAGGCACTCAAAAAGATGCTCTGGAAAAGAGTAGAATTCTTGGAACAGAGTTTAATACACTGAATCATATGAACAGCAAGAAAACACATACAGAGTATAGCAAGACGATACATAGCAGAAAGTAAGCAAAGCAACAACCTTGAGCACAGACAGCAGAGCAACACAGAGATGGACAGAAAGTAGCAGCAGGAAAAAAGAGTGCCGGGATGTCCTCTGGTCCCCTAATATATAGGGACCAGTATCCCAAAAACAGCAGGTGCAGGTGCATAATGTGTGTGTGTGTGTGTGTGTGTGTGTGTGTGTGTGTTATATCGTATGATCCTTAAGGTGATTTTATCATGATGTGTTCACTATCTCTGTTACAATGTTACTGTTTTGGTTGTGCTGCATGAAAGACATTTTGTGTGTATTAGGGGGGAGTTAGTTACTGGAGCTGGAGAGTGAGTTATGAGTTCAGAATGAGAATGAGTTCAAGAGAGTTCAACAGCATTAATTGCCCTGTTATTGTACAACCTTAATAAACCATGGTGAAGCAAAATGTCTTGTGTGTAAGACTATGTGAAAGTTAAAATATATATGTTCAGTGCAGATAGATATATATTGTATATAGTTACATAGGTATACATGTCCTCCAAAAATCCACTATCAAAATAAAACAGGAAACATTAGACACACACTAAGACGTCGGCTTGACACATGATGTGGGGGAAGAAACAGACATGGAAACACAACCAACTGGCAAGACAGAAAGGAAAAACAGAAAACAGACACAGGAGATAAACGAACATGAAGACAAGGGAGACTAGACATGAAAGGTGGAATACAGGGGCGGCACAGTAACAGAAGCTAAAGACTAGAAACTACAAAATATAATCAGAGAATAACTGAGAAAACTAGAAATGCAAACAACTCCACCATGAAAAACACTATATCAAAGAATATTCATAAACCAGAAACATAGACAGGGGGTTGGGAAGCGTATCTGTAACCGGAAGGTCGCCGTTCGATCCCCGGGCTCT